ATCTGTATTATTGTTGTATACATTATCTATACATTGACCAATTTGAGACAAAATTCAAGATTTCTGATGTATACTTAATGTATAAAGAGCAATGTACATCATATATACTCCGTATACATCTTATATACATCTGGTTGGGTTTTTTAACTTTGTATATATGAGGTGTACATTAAATATACATTCACAATTGATAACATGGTACATGAACTGTACATCACAAGAATTTCAAGATGCATGTGAAAAAACTCAACAGCTTACACAACCATGTGAAAAAAAACATGTGAAAAAGCGTACAGAATTTCACACGCATGTGAAAAAACTCATGATGAAGCACAGCCATGTGAAAAAAAGATGTGAGAATTGTGGATCGAAATTTCACATGGATGTGAAATCACATGGACTGGAATGYCCATGTGTTTGCTCCAGAATAAAATTCCTTAAAAATTAACATTTTAAAAACTATTTCTGCTACGGGTTCTGCTATGCAAGACACGCTAACTTCGCCATACAGTGCGCCATTTTGTTCCCTGTGCCGTGATATTTAGTCATGTGACTTAAACATCCAATGAGACCGCATCTATATCACATGACTGGTCCATGACTGAGCTACTATTGATTTGGCGCTCGAATTCAATTCAAACCGTTTCATCTCAGCTGTGAACRCGTCTTTTCGTTTTGTTTTCTTCTTGTGCATTCAAGTATAAAGCTTGAAATCGAATAGAAAATATATTAGTCAGTGTCTTTGAAGATAAAGACGATACGATGTATGATGTGGCAACGGAGGAGCTGGAAGATCCTATCAAGCAATAAACGAACTCTCAACGTTTGGTGGCTGCCTTTAACGGTGAGTTACATTTATACTTCGTTTTGTAGGCAATCTAAAGCCTTTTCGAAATTAGATATAGAATATATATTTAAGAGAAACCTGTTAATGTTTATAGGTATAATTGATGGATATAAGTGCTACTAAAATTATGAAAGCTTCTGAAGCGGATAAATCGGTTCTTCAAGATCGAGAGGTTGTCTAATTTATCGAAATTAAAATAGTCGATAGTAAATAAAGTTTTACTTATTTGAAATGCATCTTGAATATGTCGTCTTAGCCGCTAAAAGCGCTTTCTTTTACGAAATTCGTTCAAATGATTGTACTTGACAAACGGTTGTTGCTGAATTTTAATACCGCTGTCCTTTTTTGTTCCAGGCCACTGCTGTCTCGCAGTGACGGGATATTTGTCACGTCGCATATTGCCTTGCTTAAAAACAAAATATTCTCTCCTCAAGATACATTATGATTGTATATAAATTTGGGTTCTACTACTGAGACAAAAAAGATAATTTTTTTTTTAAATATCTGAATTTTCGAACACTGACAAAAAAAATTAAATTTCAGCATATGTAGCACGGCATGCAGAATTGCCCAAAAAGACATTGCTCATTCAATGACCATGGAAATAACTGGAAAAACCTTCAAAGATCAGCAAGTGGAATGATGAAAAAAGGAAGACAACAAAAATATTTAAGAGGATCCGGAGAATGGTGATATATATCAAGAGACACAGCAAGTAACAATTCAGATTCAGATCGAAGTGAAAATGAGGACAATGAATAAATCAAACCAGTTTTAGTACCTAAAACATACCCTCTACATACCACTTTTTATATGTATACGGTATATATTATGTATTGGTATGTTCAAGGTATGTTTTGTTTTGTGTGGGTATGTTCTTTGGTATATATATCAAATATGTTAGAGGTATATGTAAATGGTCATTAAATACCTTGAAACATACCTGTTACATACCACAATTTCTGTATGGGTATGGTTTTGAAATCAAACTTTTTTATATTTAGTACTTTACAATTAAATTTCAGCAGAATATGTCTAGAGCAAAATTTCTACAAACTGCTGAAATTGTGTAGGAATATTGAAAATTTATGTACTATTTTTACACTTTGTAAATGTATTAGCACTGGTATGCAAAATGCATTGTGGTTGGGACAACGTTTTTAATAATATTGGGATATTTAACTTGTAAAAAATATATATATTATCATACCAGTCATATTTTTACTTTTGCATGCATTCGACATATATAACAAAAGGCATTGAGCAAATAATGTAATATATTATAATTTTTCACTCATCCTGGATGCAAGTATGCTAGAATCTTAGGATTTAATTATTATAAATGTATCTTTACCTAAGAACTCACATGCTCTATATCTCCCAGTGCATCAGAGACATGAGACATGTATATAAGGTTAGATTTTTTCACTGGCGCTATATCATTAGCTAGTATTTCCATATATATCATAAGGTTGGTATTACCTTCATCTACGTATCACAACAATATTTTATAGTCTTATTTTTGTTTTAGCTCACAAATAAACATATTAGAAGAAAACATAAAGGTTTGCCACAGTACATTTTTGAATAGCAATTATACTCTTATATTGATATAATTAATTCACATGGATGAAATAATAGTCCAAATGAAGGTAGGTAACAAAGGGATAACTGCATGTATATATTCCTAACTTTTACCTTTGTGATGATGAAATACTGTATACAAAATATATACACACATTTTGATGTATAGATTTTGTATGCTCTCAAGGTATACACAATGTATACACATGAGTCCCAAATTGTGCATACTAAATGTATACAAATTGAGGCTTTTTTGTATACACAATGTATACACATGAGTCCCAAATTGTGCATACTAAATGTATACATCTTCATAAATCATTGTATGCAAAATGTATACAAATATCTAGAAGTTTTGTATATTATTTGTACAAAAGTAATATACATTTTGTATAACAAAATCTGGTAAGGGAATCTATGAAAGATTAAATAGAGTGAAGTAAAAAAATCATGCGGATCATTAAACTCATGAAACAAAATCTAATTG